AAGAAAATTAAAGGAACTCATAGAAAAAAAAATATCTAGCATGATTCTTAAGTATAACTAATGTATACAAATCACGNCACGTATAACATCTTTAACTTTCAAATAATTAAAAACTTACAATTTCTTTAAAAAAAATGATCAAACTCCACATTTTACCTTCCTAAAAGTAAATAATTAATAAAATCTTATTAGTACGATAATTAAAATATTACTCCTTCATGAATAAATACAAATTAGTTTAAGATATCAAAATAAAAGTGTATAACAAGGAGGGACAAATAAACTAAGACACGACCAATAACAAGTGAAGATATAAATTCGCAAATACTATGTCTCATTATTAGAGTTATGCTCAATCTTCATATTTCTATCGATGAATAGAACTTTTATCATTAATTTGTTAAAGAATTTTGAAGGTTAACGATATTAATTAGGAAATTCGACATGTGATTTGCGTTAGAACTGTTAGGCGAGCCCCGAACGTTGGACGTTAGGCGTGTTTAGGGCGCACGGTCAGGCTTTTGGGGCGTAAGCCTCACAGAACTAAGCCCCATACATGAACCCCAGAGCGTTTTGCAAGTGCCCCGCCCAGGAGCGAGTCCAAGAAATGCATTTTAAAACACGGAGTGTGATGGGGGAATCTTAGTAGTCCACATAACTGGAATTTTCATCTCATTGGGGAGAGTTCTGACTCCCCACCTTGTAATTCCCTCCTTTTTCTCTCCCCATGTATTAGAAAAAACATAGAGTGCGATATAAAAATGGTGTACTACAATTGTTATATAACAGTCCTGGCATTGCAAATCTCGGAATTATAAATTGTACCAAACATGAGATAAAAAAAATTCACATTTTCTTCCGGGATATAATCCTTTATTATTCTTGTAACCAAACCACTCTTTTACTCACCCCACTTAAATATCCCTACATATTAGTCACGCGGTTCATTTTACCCAATAAGAACCTCTTTAATCGAACAGTTTAAAGTCGAAGTGGCTCACCAAATTAGCAAGATTCAGTATTCATCTCTGTGACATCATGAATTTTATATGTCTGGTTGTTCTTTTGGCTAATTATCATTCAATCATGTGTGCGTTACCCAACTTATAACATTCGGCTTTTGTATCCGTTCGCAGAATCAAGAAACACAAGTACTATACATATTGTTTCCAAATAAAGAAGAAATTGAATAGAAAAATGGTTGCTGATAAGATCTATGAATAGTAAGACGAGAAAGTAAGCACTAAGAAATTGTTCAATATATATAAATTAGCATCCTCACAACTAGATAGAAGTAACAAGTAAGTCAAGTGGCAAACTTTCTTGTTTTCACCTTGTTCAAATCTATCATTATGATCTTACAACGATCATCACCACACAAAAGCATATTTAAATTATTAAAAACTTTCGCGATTAATTGGCTCACTCTCACTCTTACTAACACTAATAACATCTCTCACACTTCTTACTAATTATAATCTCAAACTCAAACTTCACACTGTTGATTTAGTGCTACTAGCTCCCATCTAAGGCTAGCTATAAAACTCAAGAAATTCTAACTTATTGGAAAGGAAAAGGCTAATGGAGACAAATAATTAATTAACCATGAACAAGGCCACTAGAGAGTGCCATTAGAAGGACTGCTGCTTCTTTCTCATCTTGTGGAAAAACTTGGTGCAAGGCCAAATTGTTGGTCAAGTTAATCAAGAAATCCTCGAAATTACCAAGCTTCTTTGGTTCAGTATTACTAGAGGAGGATTGACCAAATTTGCACCTTTTCTTGTAGGGTACTGTAACATTAACTTTTGTAATCTTCTCCTTGTGTAAGTGTTTATTCACCTTTTTCTTCATTGAAGATGATGATGTTTCAGTTGTGAGAGTTTCCCCATTCGCTGCTGCTGCTGCTGCCATGGCTCTTCTTGCCTTCCTTTGTCGGATTCCACATGCGTTGCACAGTGTCTGCACCACATGTAACATGAAAATTTTCAGTACTAATTTTAATTAACATGAGCAAAATGGATCGTCATATATGTTAAATTGTATGATCATTTTATTTAAAAATTTAAACTATCTAGCACACTTTTAATAACTTAATTATATTATATATGTCTTAATTAAACACGCTCCCTCATGTGTGAAGTTGATTTCTTTTTTCATACACCAAAAGCATGGAAAACTTAATATGGATGACAATTTAGATTTGAACTTAGGACTTTTGCTTGCTTTGATACAATACACATCATGTACTTAACTATATTATGTCTCAACAATACACATTCACTAAAAGAAAGAAATGATGAATTAATTACCTTAGGTCCTTTAGGACCACTTCTCCAAAGAGGGGTTTTAGTAGTGTTACAATCAGCACAAACCCTAATAGGGATATTGTTGTTACTATTATTGGAGCTGTAATCAGTTTCTAAAGGATATGATGGCTGCTGCTTCTGATCTTCCAACTTCAGTTTGATGTAAGTACTATTGTTGGTGGTCTTTTCCAGGATTGTTTGATCCGAGGCTTTTATCTTTGAAGACATCCACTTAACTGGATTTTTCTCGTTTTGATTCTCATTCTTGTCTTCTCTCTTCCACAAGGTCAATTTGAGGCCACTCCCAACCTTGTTTTTCTTCTCTACATCATATAATCCACCTTCATTATCCACCTATAATCCACAAAGAAAGCACACTCAACATTAATTACTTACTAATTACCTTAAGAACAAATTAAAATCCAAGTGATCTTGGAAAAAAATATCGTATTTGTATAACATATATATATATATATATATATATATATATATTTTTGGATAAAGTAACATGATCCAACATGAGAAAGAAAAACACCCTTTTCTTGTATGTACCTCAGGTTGGTGCGGTGGCGTATAATATTCATCACGATGATAATATCCAGTTTGATTCTGATTAGTAGTTGAGTTGAAGAAAAACTCATGATATGACGACGAGTAAGAAGATGAGGAAGAAGCCTGATAGTAATTAGGGCTAACAAGAGAATGGTTTAGATCATAATCCTCATTATTAAGCACAAAAGGAAAAGGAGGAGGAGGAGTAGAATTAGTTATGTGATCGGTTGGAGTCATTGGAAAGGGAAAACAAAGAAGAAAGATGAAAGAAGAAAGTTTCTTCTTATGAGATAGGAGATCAGCGATCAAGAAATGGTGTAGGGAGTCTTAAAAGAGTTAAGAAAGGAAAGATTTTAAAGTCTTTGCAAGGAGGTGCAAAGGCAAAGGAAAAGGAAAAGGAAAAGAGCTCGTTCTTAGCCAAAGATCTCGGGTTCGAGCTATAGGTATATAATCATCTTTGTTGGGTATAGTAGCTGAGTTGATGCAGAGCTCGAGAGCGAACTTTCTAGTTAATAGTTGTTGTTTGTTTATGGTAGCCTGTGATCTTGTATTACTATTTATGTATATTCAAACAGATGATGTATTTTCTCATCAGTGTTATATTCCTATAACAACCTACCATCGTAAGGTTCTGCGTACAGTCTACCCTCCCCAGGCCCCAATTTGTGGGATTACACTGAGTTTGTTGTTGTTGTTATTGTTGTTGTTGTATTCCTATTCTTAGTTGCTCATGACTTGTGACACCGACTCTTGAATGGTTTGTGTTAAAATTTGCATCCTTATTTCATTATTTATTTGATGATCTTCAATTTGTGTGTTGTATTTTATGTTATTTGGTTCATCTGACGGGTTGATTAGGTGCTATCACAACTTAGTAGGATTTAGGTCATAACAAAGTACTTCGTCTTTCGACGCGACTTTATATTTAGTCGAACCCTAATATAAGTACCGGACACCGATAGAAAATCAGAAAAAGAAGGAAAAGTTGAGGAGGAAAGAGGGAGGGGGGCTAGACATTCACGTGACTTCATGGACAACTAAACAAGTTAAAAGAGGACAAATTTACCGAAAGGAGAGAAGAGAAGAGCATNCCTAATGTAAGTATCGGACACTGGTAGAAAACCAAAAAAAAAAGAAGGAAAAGCTGAGGAAGAAAGAGGAAGGGGGGTTAGACATTCACGTGACTTCATGGACAACTAAACAAGTTAAAAGAGGACAAATTTACCAAAAGGAGAGAAGAGGAGCAGAATACTACCACACGACCAAATGACTGATCAACCCTATCTTCAAAAGTTTAGTCATCCCCAATATTAATCCCCAGATCCCAAGTTAATTGCAGGTTTTTAATATCTAATTACATCTCCGGAAACATTATTTTCAATGCGGATTTAAGTTATTATACTAACCGTAAGAAGTTACCTATTAATGTTTATCATAAAGAATATTATCTACACCTTATAAATAATCTAATTGTATAAATATTTTTATATCGCCGGTGCATAGTATTAAACTCTAACCTATGCTAGCCACACGTAGCATTCACATATACTCCTCATATTTTCAGATGATCGTCTACCAAGTCTTTTTTTTTTCTTTCATTTTTTTCATTTTTAGGGTTTTTTTCGTGCTGGAAATTAATTAGGTGGTCCAATAATTTCTGATACAAATATTTCTTAGGGACTACTTTACAACATAGGCGAATCCTTGCATAAGTGATTGCCCTGGTGAAAAATTTAAATGTATAGTGCGTATTGCGTTAAAACCTAACCTTGAGAGAAGAATAGCAACTAGAAATTAAAAGGTCTGTAGACTGTAGTATATATATTTGCAATAGGTTGAAGTAAAATATTTCGACTTTGTGAAGGTACTTGGGACGACCCAAAGACTCTTCTATATCTACTTACTCTTGTTAAAGACCTGCAATTTGTATGAACTGGTTGTCAAATTCAAAGAAATTTGGGTAAATTTCACAAATGGTTATTTAACTATGACTCTTTTTTCACTAAAGCCATATAACTTTGTTTTCTCACACAAAAATCATATAGCTATGCCTTTTTTTTTTTTTTTTTTTTT